ATACATATTTCACAGTAACACAGGTGGGAACCAGGACTTTCATGTTCCCTAGGTGATTCCAAGGTTGAGAACCAATGGCTTAAGGAAAAACGGTTTAATACAAAAAATTTGTTTTACATTCTATTGCGGTTTTTAGAATTCAGCAAAAGCTACAAAATCCTCAAGAAATTAAGGTCGGTTGTGAGGTTCAAACAAGATTCAGGAGGAAATGCTTTGGAAACTGTTAAAGGTAGTCATTATTAGTATTATTATCAGACCCTGTTTTAAAGCCTCCGCTAATGGTCTAATGAGCTGGAAAGAATTTAATATAGAAACTTCACCATTGTCTTTAGAGCTAGGATACTATCGAGAATCACATCAAACTCAGCTGCCTGTGAAAAGATAATTGAAGTGTTCAAGGCTGGTGTATTTAGATGTACCTACTTAATTGGGATCTCTCCCTTTCTGTCTCTGCCCTTTTACTTAAAAGAACAGTAAGAAAGGAAGAGTTATTAGAAAAGAATGCTGGAGAAGACACATCCTCTTTCTCTGCCTTCCCCGTCCTCAGTAACCCTCCACTTCTGCTGTGGCCTGCACACTCCTCCCCAGTCCCCACTCTGTCCTGGCTCCCTTCCGAGGTCCTAAACTGGCCAAGTCTGGGCCTGGTCGTCGGGGAGATCCTAGGGTTCTGCTAGAGTAAGATCCTTTTATCCAGCCACAGATAGAAGAAACTAGATCAGAGAGCCCAAGTAATTTGTGTTAAGTCCCAGAGTAGGTTAGAGCCAGAGAAAAATCCAGTTTTCCACAAACCTAACCTAAATTCTACAATTAATACAAGAAATAATCAAAGCAAAAACATTGGAAGAAACTAACGAGCAAGGTGGGGGGAGAAAGGATGAGAATGAGCCACTTCATGCAAAATATCCCCTCACACTGAGAGGGAGATGACACAGAGAGCCAAGAAGTAGCACTAAAGGCAAGGCCACAGTGATGCATATCACAAAACCTGAAATTGAAAGGAATTGAAATCTTTCATTGTGAGACATTTCATCATTTTCTCAGCAATTGCATCTGTTTTATAATTTCTTCCATCACTGACTTCCCAGTAGTCCTGGCATCTCCTAACTGTGATGTGGAGGTGACAGGTAATGGTGTTTGCCTCCAGGAAATTAAAGACCCCCTCAGTAACTGTATTAGTCATTGACACTTGCTGCTGTGATTGATCTTGTAACCACCATCAGATCTGGGAAGAGAAAGGATATGAAAACTCATAAGCAGGAAAAACAACCTTATCTTCTCCATATCCAGCTCTCTCTTTACAAGATATATCTGCAAAATCTGTTTTTGTATTTCTAATTTGTTCACCAAGGGGCATATTTTTGACAGGATGGGAATATGTCCCTTGGGTACTGGGAACTATTTGGACTCATAAGAAATTGTGAATTCTGCCTAGGTTTCCCAGAGTTGCTATGCGGAGTTGCCCTTTACCTCAAAAGCAAATATGTCTCAGAATTGTATTTCAACATTTCAGGACACCCAAAGGCAAGAAGTTATAATACTGAAAAGAGGCCCTGTTCGTCATCTCTCTCTGTGGAAAGTGCCAGAAGAAATGTGTACTCTGGTTACATTGTTGCTTTTTTTTTTATTTTAGACTAGTCAAGTGCAGTAGTGTTATTACTGGTTTATATCTTTGGCGCTCCCTGGTATTAGGGGTTAGGGGAGGTGCTGGGTAAATTGTTCCATTAGCACAGTGCTTCTGACTGAGCCATTCAACAAAATCTAGTCTAGAGTTAAAAAAACTAAAGTCAAGAATCCCAATGAACAAGCACTATTTCCTGTATTTTTCAATCCAATGGGCTTAAAATCTCTGAAACCTGCCAAACTGTATCTGTTGTTTGCTTAAGAATGTGGTAATCAAATTCTTAATACACAGACATACTCTTTGATTCAGAAATTTCAATGCTAGGTATTTATCTTACAGGTATACTTTTGTACAAACCTATCCATTACAGAGTTATTTGTGATTGCAAAAACAATGTAAATAGCCTGAAAAGGCATCAATAGAGGATAAGTTAAATAAATTATGGTTTGTCCACACAATGGAATGCTATGCAGCAGGTACAAAGAATGACGCATCACTTACGTTCTAAAATGGAAAAATCTCCAAGCTATATTAACTGAGTAAATGGAAGGTTTATAGGAGTGGATAAAGTATGCTCCCATTTGAGTAAAGAACAGAGGCACATGTACAGTCATTCCTCAGTATCCAAGAGGAATTGGTTCCAGGAACCACCACAGATAGCAAAATCCACAGATGCTCAAGTCTCTTATATAAAATGGCATAGTATTTGCATATAACCTATGCACATCTGTGGATGCAAATGCAGAACCAGCAGATACAGGAGGTCGACTGCTATGTGGATAAATGCACAGGATATCTAAGGAAAGATGCAAGAAAAGGTGCCTCTGAGATGGAGAATTGGGGGAAAGAAGTTAAGGGAGGCCATAATTCTGTTAATTGATTAACGCAAGACTTAACACATAATAATGTAATTAGAATAGTAATTAATACACATAGTGCTTACTCGTCCTGTTCTAAGCAACATTACATATTTAAACTAATTCAATGTATTCCTTTTAAACTATAGGTATTCAAAGCCTGGCTAGTTAGCTCAGTTGGTGAGAGCGTGATGTTATAACACCAAGGTCAAGGGACCAGATCCCAGTATCGGCCAGCTGCTTAAAAGTGAAAATAAATAAATATAGATATTCATGCACCTGTCTTACTTCATTAGAATATCAACTCCTTGAAAGCTTAAATATGACTTAGGCCTTTTAATATCCTACACAAATGCTAGTATAATATTTATCACATAATAATGTTCTCAAGAAATATGTGCCTCATTCATTCATTATCAAATGTAAGAGAAACTATTATCTGCACCGTTTACAACTGACTTAAGAGCTTAATAATCTTCATGTAAAATTATCTTTTCACAATCAGTCTGCTATGGCATGAAGTTGAGCCACAATGCAAAAATAAGTGTCTTTGAAAATGTGCTATTTTACATACATCTGATTGTGGTTGTGCCAGACACACCAGGGAATTCAAACAAATTATTGAATAAAAGTTGCCCAGTTTTCCTCTCACTTTCCTTTCAAAGGACTGCATTATCAAGGCAGAGTCCCCTCCCTTTTGGAACTTTGAGTCAGGGGAGTATTTAAGTGTTTCAGTGTAAAAGGTCTCCTGCTAAGTTCAGTGGAATCAAGTATATAAAGTATTCAGCACAAGTTTGATCCATCATAAACCTCCAATAAAGTGGAGCTATTTCTCATTTCTTATTGGGAGGTTTCAGGCATCATGGGAGAGAAAAGTAAATAAGAGCTAGTGCTCTGTCTTGTCAACAATTGGGAAATGAGTCTGTTACAAAAATAGAGTGGAGCATGGGAGTGGGAGTGTTTTTTCCTTTAACAAGTTATTAAAAGTCACCAGTGCTATAAATCAGACAGTCTGGGGAAAAAAAGAGAAAAGAAACCCTGATTCTTAGATTCAAAAATTCACTTATTCAATAAAGTATTTATTTGAGTGCCTGCCTGGGCCTAGTTAGCATCACGACAGGCAATTGTTTTCCAAAAGTTAATTTTACTAACATATGCTATAGTTTTGCATTTATTTTCTGGTTTTGAAGTAAAACTTGCAGAAATGGTACCAATGGCAAACTATGTTTTACTGAAGTAGTAAAGTATTAATAGTAATAATTCTCTAAAAGCTGGTCCTGACTTTTGGATTTGACAAAACAGTAAAATTTTAAATAAAATTAAGGCTACCAATACAGTGTTATATTCGTTTTTTTTTTTAAGTGTTTTTCATGGCTAGAAGAGCAGAAATCAAATTAACATCACAAAGAAATGACGTTTTGCAATGATGAAAATGCTAATTATCCTGATTTGATCATTTTACATTGTATACATGTGTTGAAATTTAACTCTGTACCCCATAAATACGTATAATCAATAAGTTTCAACATTAAAAAAGTTTTTATCTATCTTACGGACTGAATTGTGTTCCCTCAATTTTGACAAGTTCAAGTCCCAACCCCAGTACCTCAGAATGTAACCTTATTTGCAGATAAAGTTTTTAAAGAGGATATTAAGTTAAGATGCAGTCATTAGTGTGGATTCTAATCCAGTATGACAGGTGTCTTTATAAGAAGAGGGAGAGACACCACGGATATGCATGCCAAGAGAAAAGGCCATATGAACATAACGGCAAGAAGGTGGCAATCTGCAAGCCAAGAGAAGCATCAGAAAAAAACAAGCCAGCCAGCACCTAGATCTTGAACTTCTAGCCTCCAGAATTGTGAGAAATGTTATTTAAGCCACCCAGTCTATGATATTTTGTTACAGCAGTCCTAGCCAATGAATATAATCTACTCTCACATCATTTCATAAAAGTAAGCACATTTTAAACCACAATGGTAGGAAGGACCTAATTTCTGAATGATGGATGGCCCTTTATATTGAATATATTTAGCTTTTTAAAAAACTTACTGTCTTAGTTTGTAGGGCTAATGTAACAAAATGCTATAAACTAGGTAGCTTATAAACAATAGTTCTGGAGGCTGGGAAATCCAAGATCAAGGAAGATTCGTTGTCTGATGAGGGCCCACTGTCTGGCTCGTATAATGTGCCTTCCTTCTGTGCCCTCACAAGGTAGAAGGGACTCAAGGAGTCTCTCTCTCAGTCCTCTTTTATAAGGGTATTTATCCCATTCATGAGGGCTCCACCCTCATGACCGAATCACCCAAAGGCCGCACCTCCTAATACCATCACCTTGGGGGTTAGGTTTTCAACATATGAATTTGAGGGAAAAAAATATCCAGAATATTCAGACCAAAGAATATGCAGACCATATCTTTTCTCATTTTGCTGTAGACCAATGAAAACTCTGTCATTGAGGAATTCCTGCTCTAAAATCTTTTTTCTTCTTAATTTTTTATTCACTGGTCTGCAAACTCAAAAATAACCACGGACTACATGTGACCATCAAGAATTCCAACCTAAAGAGATTATTAACAGGCCCATTTTCATACTTAGAACACAATTTATAAATTTATCACTTGCTTATATAACACAAGAAATCTTGTAAAAACATAGCATTTCCTCAAATAAGTCTTCTAAATTCACAATTATTAAAGTAGAAATATCTATTAAAATTATTTTAAAATATAGTTTAACTAAAAACTCATTTATGAACTTTGGGAAAATTATTTATTTTACTCCATGGAGTTTAAGCAAGTAATTTCACATTTCTTTTTAGGTCAAGAGTCAGAAAACATTTTTTGTACATCCAGCACTAGTAGAGATCATGGTATATCAATGACATATTTAAATACAGAGATCAATTTTTTAAATGGATTTCTATAAATAGCATTAACAGGAAAACACATATAATAAATCTACTCAGGATCTAAAAGCCTTAATTTATACAAATATTGGAAGAAACTAGTCTTCTGAAAATTTTCTCATTTAAACAACACACTATGAGAACAGATCCAAAGATGGAGGAATCCATTGGTAGTCAGCAATTCACAAACATGACATATAAACTTGACATTTTTAACATGTGAAGAAAGACTGCACTGGGAACAAGGTTGCTCTTCCTCTTTTATGGAACAGGGACATTTCATATTTCGTAGTTTCTGAACTTCCTCAGGAGTTCTGAAGGAGCATCCCCAGACCAGCGGAAACGAAGGTGCCAAGAGTTCACATCTGAAAAGCCTTTAGAAGAGAGAAAAGAAATATTTAAAATCAGAGGTAAGAAAAAAAAAGTTAAGCTTGTAAGAGTAAAACAGCTTGGGGATAAGATTTTACTGCAATAAGTAAAATGTAAGGGTAAATCTTTGCTATGAATTATTAGTATCTTACAGAAACGTTATCTTAAACAGACTCTGGAATTCTTATGAACAGGAATTATCACTTATATGAATGAGGGGATCTCAAATGTTTAAATGCTTAATAATAGAAGGAAATGTATAAATGCCTCAGTGGCAGGAATTTTGACAATTCACCAACAAAGAAATTGGAAACAACTTTCAAAAACACAGCTTTCAAAAACCTTTCAAAAAGTGAAAGGTCAATGATAAAGGATCTCTTTATGAATCCCAATAGTATTTGTATCCCAAATACAAGTAATAGAATTCCATGGTAATAAGACTTTTCTAATTATAATAAACAAGGTTGTTGAAAACTAGAGAAAAAGTCATTTTTCTTCACTACTGAAGTGTAAATTGCCAAAACTACTGGCAGGCAGTTTGGCAATACTTATCAAACTCACTAAAATGTATAAGC